GAACCGAGGAGGGAGGCGGGAGCCGGCCCGGGCAGCAGGAGGGAGCGGGATGCTCCGCGCCGGCATCTCCGCATCCTCACTCCACCGCCCGGGGACCAGGCCGGGCATCCCCGAGCATCCACCCGAGTAAACCCAAACCCCAACAGAAATCAACAGGAATCCAGGTTTTACACCTTTCTGACAAAACAGCCAACACCACGGATTACCTCAAATTACTCTAATTGGTCTTATTTTAAAAATTTATTTATTAGAAACAAACTGTTCAGGAATCAAGGACTGTTTTTAATGATCCAAAACAGAAATAAGTGTTCTAGTCTATTACTGCCCTATATGGAATAAATCAATATTAAAACTAATTAACCCTTTTCAAAGGCGTTTTGTCTCCGGTTTTTATTTAATGGTTCAGTGCAACCTGAAGTACTGCCAAAGCTGGATAAGCTCCATTTAAAAAATGGCCAATTTTGAAAACAATTTAACAGCTTACTGTGATGAACATTTCTGTATTTTTTTAATTTTTTTTTTAACCAGGAAGAACTTGGCTCCAAGAGGAGATGGGGATAAACCATCTCCTTTGCTGATGCAATGAGTCACCAATCAGAACTGGCCACCCAGCTCAGCCTCAAGTGGAAAATGCATATATATTTCTGAGATTTCAAAATAAATATTATGGGCAAGGGTTTAAGAGTTGTTCTGCTGGCTGTAGGGTTCTAGATGAGGATTTTTTTTTACATTCCTAAACCAGAAAAATCCTAACCTTTCTGCAGTTCACAAGATTTTGATGCAAGAGAGCAGAAATCTAAATGAAGGGGAGAAAAAAATCCCAGTAAAGTATCCCTGCTTACTGCTCCCTCCTTCCTACAACAGTTTAACTGGAGAATCTCTTAACACCGAGCCAAAAGAACTCCAGCAGCAATAACCGGTTTTTAAATTCATATGAAAGCTTTATTAGTTGTTCCACACACAGCTGAAAAGAGACGACACAGCTTTTCAGACAATTCGGGGAGAAACGAGCCCTATTCACCTGGCTACTGCGGGCTCCCACACTCCTCTTCCTCCCAGGAAATTACAAATTAGAGGAGTGCAGGGGGGGAGAGAAAAGCAGTAATTTATGAAAACACAGTACACCATAATTTTGCCATTTTTCTGCAATAAGGATGGCAAATGATTCATGGGGAAAAATGAAATATATTCCCCTGTCAGCTCAATAGATTCAAGATTTACAGCTCCTCGACTTGGACAGGAACAGCTCTGTTTGCATAGGAATGAACTGCAAATCAGTTAATTGGAGAGATGCAAAAATAATAAATGGATCTGTGCAAAATAAACGGAGCAACATTTCGGGAGAGCAAACGAAGGGCAGCGTGGCCCTGGGTTTGTTCTGGGGGGGACAGGGACCTCGGCCGTGTGTGACCAGCCCTGCACAGCTCACCTGGGCCACGTGTGACCCCAGCCAGGAGCTTGACACAAGGCACTGTTAGTGCTGCAAAATATTTGGGGTAAAGCTGATCACAGCAGACATTTTTGCCTTATCACTTACACGCCGTGGAGTAGGGGAAAATCCGTAGTCTCAGTGGTTCCCTCTGCTCTGGCTCATTCCCACGTGGAGGGAGCTGCTTGCACATCAGCACAGCTCCGTGGCAGCTGTGCAATATCCCTGCTACAAGTGTAAATGAACGCAGGAAATAATCTGGAGATTATGAAGATTGTGCTCACGCTGCCAAGGGTTCCCTGACAGGGAAATGGATCTGCTCTGCTGGAGCACTCGTGGCAGCCCGGGCTCACCTGCCGGGGAACACGACCACTGCTGCTGGCTTGGGTCAGGACCAAACTCCCCGTGGCTGGCAGCCCAAACCCAGGAGGAAAATGCATACATTGGTGAAAGGCAGGCGGCTGCTGCCACTCCAGCCTGAGGGCAGTGCAGGACCTGTCACTGTCCCCTCCCGGAGTGCCCAGGGCTGCACTCGCTCCTCACTGCACTGCAGAGCTCTCCGTTCTGGGCTCAGAGCTGTGGGAACCCGGGTTCTGCTCCCCCAGCCCACCCATCCCCACCTCCTCCTTCCCACAGAAACTTCCCCGGGGCGACTCCGAGGTACTTTTGCACCTGCCACACAAACTGCAAGAGAAAGGAACTTTTTTAGCCACTTTTATTGGTTCATGCTTTCAGTCCTTACTCAGTTAAAAACAAGGCACATTAAATACATCCTCTTATTGCTCATTAAACGCATGCGGCTCATTCCAGATATCAAAGGTAATAAATAATGGCAGGAAAACACCAAGACAGTTATAAAAATGACAACCCAGCTTCAAACACAGCAGTGAACAGCCCAGGCTGCAACAGGAACCTGACAACAGACCTAAGTGCCACGTGGAGACCCGCAGTGTGTCTGTACACGTATTTATACACACCCAGACACTGCACGGGCCCCCTCCCCACAGGGGCAGTTATTTACAACACCAAACTCCCACAGAAAACCAGAAATCTTCACACACACAATCCCAGCTCAGCAGGGCAAGGCAGTGGCACCACGCAGCTGTGCCCACAGTGCAGGCACACAGAAAGCCCACAGAGCACAGCCAGCCCTCTGCAGACACGAGGGCACACGTAACACGTGGGAGCATGCCATGGGTGCTGGGGAACACGTCAGCTGTCCCTGTCACTGCAGCCTGGCTGTGCCACACAGGGAGCAGGAGGTGGCACAAAGCAAATCCATGTCCAGGGACACACGCAACCAGGAGAACCCACAGCCACATTCCAGATGCAGGATTAGCAAAACAAGAGAACAAAGAGCATACTTTGGCTACAACACAGAAACCCTGCTTTCCAGGTAAATTCAGGTTATTATTTTAACAATGCCAGCTAGAGAGGAGTGGAGAATTGCTCTTTAAACTGTACAAAAGCTGTTCAATAGTGAAAATATTTTTTCTGTACAAAAAACCTGTTCAACATTGGAAATATTTTTTTTTCTTCACATGGCCTGGAGAAGATCTCATTACTTTTACTTTGTTTTATTTCCCCTTACACTTTGTTAACAGCAGAATCCTGAAGCCCTTCCCTCTCCCACTGAGCCAAAATGACTGTGTGTTATACATTCATTTCCCTCCATTCTGCAGGACCTGTGAGATCTGTTACTGTGCGCTTGGAACACAAACATTCCATCCTTCACCTGAACATTCTGGAACACAGCTCAAAAGGAAAAGCCTTCAGGAGCACAGGGACAAACCCCTTTGTTCACTGGAAGGTCCTTGTGGTGTCAGATGTGCCAACTCCCCCTTCCTCAGCCCCTGCTCGAAGCACAAAGCCAGAACCTGAACAACATCTGCATCAAAAAACAAACTGAACATGCAAAAACCACCTGAACCGTTTTAGGTCTTACCCTTTTCTTTTGTATCTGCTGTTTTTCAACACCCAAATGTTTAATGTTTTTTGTAAGGGCTCTGCTTCTGCAGCCAAAGACAGCATGTGCACTCGCTGTGCTACATCCACCACTCCCCAGCAGCTCCATTTGTGTCTGGAGCCATTTTCCCTGTTAAAACAGCCAAGGAATCCTTGCTGCTCACTCCTGCCCTGTTGGGCATCCCTGATGGATGTTATTTTCCATCAGTGGACATGGTGATACCAGTTAAATACATCAGATTTTACTTCAGCAGAAATTCTGACCCCTGGGAAGTGAAGCTTGGTTTGAGGTGGAAATTGCTGTACTCAGGGAACAGAGCAGATGCCAAATCCAGCAGAAAGCCAGGTCTCCCTGCCTTGTTCTACATCAGGCAGCAATCTCCCAGCTGATCTCAGCCCAGCCCAGCAGCAGCAGGACAACAGGCAGGTACAGCAGTGCTGGAAACAGCTCCAGTGAGGGCTCCATGCTTTGGTTGCTCATTTAGCCTGCTGAAAAACAGCCTTTTTTTCTGGAAAAGTTAGTAGGATGCAAGACACACACTTTGTTTTTTTCACCGTATTTGAGCATTTTAAAATTAACATTTAAGAATGTTGTGTTACCAAAACCTGCCCCATACTACACAGCATCAGGGTTTGCCCCACACTTGAAGCTCTTTTTAGCATAAAACACCTTTTGCCTTTATTTCACTGCACAAAGCACCACCTGCAGACAATGCCATTTATTAGAGGCAGTTTATTTGTGTTAACAGGGGAGAAGGGAAGCTCTGCCCAGCTTCCAGCTATGTTATTACCTCGGGTGATTAATCCAGGTGTCTTGTTTTCCAGCTGCAATTTCTGCGTGGCCAAGTGCTGGCACCACTGGAATAACAGGACAAACCCACCACCCACAGCAGCCTCGGGACGGGTCTCCAGCACCCCTGCCAGAAGCTGGGTTTGCCCTTTTGGAATGGTATCTCCACTCCAGGACACAGCTTTCCCTCTCCTGCTCCTTGCTGAAGAGGCAGAAGCAGCTCAGAGGTTTTGTGTTTGCAGGACTCAGTGTGTTTAAGGGCAGGACTCACTCTGAGCACTCTGCTCCAAAGGTGATGCAAACATTAATGGCTGGAGCAGGACTCACTGTGAGCAAGGTGTGCTCCAAAGGAGAAGGAGATGCAAACGTTAATGGCTGGGGCAGGATTCACTCTGAGCAGGGCTGTGCTTCGAAGGTGATACAAATATTAATGGCAGGGCAGGATTCACTTGGAGCATGGTGTGCTCCAAAGGTGATACAAATATTAATGGCTGGGGCAGGATTCACTCTGAGCACTCTGCTCTGAAGGTGATATAAACATTAATGGCCGGGGCAGGACTCAATCTGAGCAGGGATGTGCTTTGAAGGTGATACAAACGTTAATGGCTGGGGCAGGATTCACTCTGAGCACTCTGCTCTGAAGGTGATATAAACATTAATGGTTGGGGCAGGACTCAATCTGAGCACCCTGCTTCAAGGTGATACAAACATTAATGGTTGGGGCAGGACTCACTCTGAGCAGGGATGTGCTTTGAAGGTGATACAAACGTTAATGGCTGGGGCAGGATTCACTCTGAGCACATGCTCCAAAGGTGAAGGTGATGCAAACATTAATGGCAGGGCAGGAGTCACTCCGAGCACTCTGCTTCAGGGTGATACAAACGCTAAGAGCTGGGGCAGGAGTCACTCTGAGCAAGGTGTGCTCCAAAGGTGATGCAAACATTAATGGCAGGGCAGGAGTCACTCCGAGCACCTGCTCCGAAGGAGAAGGCGATGCAAACGTCAGTGGCCGGGCAGGAGCTGTGTGCCCCCAGGCCCTGCAGCCCGCAGCTCCAGCCGCACGCCCGGCCCGGCCAGGCCCAGCAGGGAATCGCGGGGCCGGGGCACACGGAGCGCGGCGCTCGGCAGAGCTGCCCGGCACGCCGGGGCTCAGAGCCCGCCGCCGCTGCGGTCCACGGGGATGGCCTGGCGCCGCCGCAGGTTCTCCTCGGCGCTCTTCATCAGCACGGCCAGCCTGCTGCCCGACACACGGCCCTTCTGGATGGCACTCATCAGCTGCGGACACGGCACAGCGTCACTGCGCTGCCCTCAGCCACCCGCACACCCGCAGCGCAAACCCCGGCTGCGGCCCGGCCCGGCTCTCAGCCCGGAACAGCCCAGGACACTGCCCGGGGGCTGCGGGAGGGCAGCGCCGAGCAGGAGCCACCTGGCAGCTGCAGACAGCCATCGCCGCTGCGACATTCACAATGTGGGAAACCAGCCGCTGCACAGGCTGCCTTCGGTTATTTGTAATATTGATGCAGCTCACGGAAAATTCAGGATTTCTTTCCATTTAGGAAGACATTGTTCCCTATGAGGATGTCACAGGGTGCCCAGAGCAGCTGTGGCTGCCGCTGGATCCCTGGCAGTGCCCCAGGCCAGGCTGGAACAAGCTGATCTAGTGGAAGGTGTCCCTGGCCCTGCCTTGGAGATGAGCTTTAGGGTCCCTCCCAACCCACATCATGCAGGGATTTCATGATTCCTGATCCGCCACTGATCCCAGACCTGCCCTTTCCACCCACATGCCTTTCTCTGGAGAGACACTGTACTTGACTCCCACAATTCTTTCAAATCCAAATTCCTTTATAGACTTTTAAAACTAATTTGCCTTTAAGTCCTGGCAGCTGGACTCTGCTCTCTCCCAGTGCTAGCCCACTACTGCTAAGATTTTAGTTAATTCTTTTTTATCCCATGGATAAAGCCAGCATTAGAGCTGAAATTACCTGCAGCCAGCTCTGCAGAGAGCGCTGGGGAAGCAATTGGCACTTGCCAAATGCAATTTCTTGCTCCCACTGACTACAGGAATCCCTGAGATTCCTTCCCCCATAGGAAAAGCTGCTCATTACACCTGCAGCTGGACCTGTGCAAACGTGGCGTGGCCTTCTCCCTGGCCTCCCTCCCAGCTCCAGAGCCACGGGGAGGAGGCCAGGGCTGTGCACAGACAGGGATCTCCCAGCAGCAGAGGCACGGCCTCCTGCCCTGTCACCCTCCTGGGCCACCAGCCTGCCAGGGCCTGGGGCGATGGGCTGTGGAGGAGTGGGATGGGCTGTAAGGCTCCCTCCCACTCAAACCACTCTGGCATTCCATGATCCCTCCTGACTGAACAGGGGGCAGTTGCCTTTGTGTCCCACCAGCAGTTCCAGGGCTCCCTGTCCCTCCTGGAGCACCCCTGGCTCTGCAGGAACCCTGTGCCCTGGGCTCTGTGCCAGCTGTGCTGCCTGCCTCGGGCAGCCCTCTGTGCCCCATCAGCCCATGGGCACCGAGCACTGGGGCTGCCAGGCCACTCTCTGCCCGCCCTCTGAGGCCCCTCAGCCCCTGCTCTGCTCCCAGCTGCAGGCCAGCAGCCCCCAGGCACAACCTGCTCTATTTTCCAACACAAACCTCCACAAATATTTGCCCAGGGCTTGCACAAGTTCTGCGCTGAAACGCAATTACTTGAAAGTTTTCAGAAAGCAAACACTCAAGTATTGGGCACTGACTTAACAGATCCATTAAAAAATTAAACAAACATTTAATGCATTTTGCTCCTTCCATGGCAACCCCAGTTCATTTCAGTGGCACCTTCGTGCTTAGCACTGAGTGCTTCCCTGGAGGGGAAGGCACAGGAGAGGGCTCAGCCCTGCAGTGCCATCAGGTTCAGCTTTTCCATGTTTCAGACTCTGTGCTGCTTCAGTGTGCAGTTCTGAGCTTCACATGAAGGGTTGCTGAGCTCTGTGCACAGAGCAGGGACACAAAACAATTCCTGCTCCAGCTGGGCACCAAGGACAAATGATCCCAATCCCAGCCCAGGAGCACAAAGCCCGTGGGCTGCAGAGAGAAAAACAAGCAGGGTGGGACTGCAGGGGCTGCAGCTGGGGTTGGCCACTGAACTGCAATGTGCACATGGAGCAGAGCTGAGCCCAGGGAGAGACCCCGGCAGCGCTCGTGCATTTTGGGGCCATTTGGGTTCATCCTGGGTGCAGCCCTGGCTGGGCTCTGGTGCTGCCCGAGGTGCATCCATGGAGGAGATCCTTGAATCAATCCCTGCTTTATTCTGGAGCTCTGCCCAGCCTCTGCTCCCTTCTCAAGGCATCCCCATTACTGCTGCTCCACAGCCAGGCTGCTCTCGGAGATGTGCAGGAGCCACAGAGTGACACAGGTTTGCACAAACAGCCCTGAAACACTCCTAAGCACGGCCTGGCCTTTGCATTCTGTGGGATGATGTAGGGCTGGCCATCCCTGGTGAGCCTGCTCAGCCTAGCAAAAACACCCCAGAAGGCCCCCAAACCCCACAGAACAACAATTACTGATTGTTTCAGCTCCCCAGCCAGTGTACCCAACCTAACCAAACTGCAGCTAGCTCAGCCTGCAGAAAGGGCTGGGCTGCCCCACTGAAAGGCTTCCAGTGGGGGGACCAGGGTGTCCCTTTCCAGCAGCCAGAACCCAGCTGGGCTGCTCTCTCCCATTTGAACAGATCAGCACAAACTCCCAAAGCCATTGCTTCTCCTTCCCCCTGGCTTGCTTGGTTTGGTTTTTCCCCTTCCCCCAAATTCAGTACAGCCCCTCAGCTCAATTGCTGCATTTTAGGCAAATAAATACTCCTTTTTGCTAATGCTGGACACAACCTGTGAAAATTTTCTGCATTTAGATTCAACAATGGTGCTCTTATCCCCAGCTCATCTCCAGAGAGACAATTACCATTTCCTTTGCCTTGATCTTGTTTGTTTAACTTGACACAGTGAAGAAAGGGCTGACATTGACCAAAATCCCCAGCATTAATTTCTCTCCTGTTTGGCATTCATCATTGCCACCGGGCAGGGGAGACACGGCAGGCTCTCAAATACCACCCCAAAAAAGACTCCTCCAACACCAACCCAGCTGACAAACTGCATCTGCAAAGGGAGCACCCTTGGGTTTGCTTGAAAGACCCCAAAAAGCAGATGCATGTCATTTTTTTCAGAGAGACTGGGGCAATTTAGCCAATCTGGAAATTAAAATGGGTTATGGTCCTGGGATGGGCCCTAACTACAAGCTCATTCTTTGTAATATTTGGTTTACTATTTAGTTATTTAGTTTATTATCATTACAGTTATACTACTATTTATCATTATAAATATTTGGTTATTTAGCTGTTTATTATTCCATTTCTTAGTTTACTCATTTTTCTAACAACCCTTAACAGCTGCGGATAATGTCAGTGTGCACACCTGCGCCATGCACCTTCCAGTGGACACCTGTATCATTTTAAATATGTTTAAACAGCATTTCTGGGCTTAAAATGCCAAATTCATGTCTGGACTGGGGCATACTTTGTAAATTGGACCCGTTCTTTGAGTCTGACTGGGCAAAAAAGACCCCTGAATTTCCAAGCTGCTTGAGGATGGCTCTGTGTGCCCCCTGTACCACCACCACCACAGGAACACTCCCCTGGTGTCCAACCCAGCCCTACAAGGGTGAAAGTTCCCTAGGTGTGTCTTTGCTGCTCACAAACCAGCCTCTCCTGGGAGCAGACGAGGCACGTACCTGCAGGAACTCGTTGAGCTCCACCTGCCCGTTTTTGTTGAGGTCCACCTCGTTGAGGATCTCGTGGAGGGTGTTCTCGTCCATCTGCACGCTGATGCTCTGCGTGAACGAGCACAGGAGCAGGGGCTCAGCAGCCTGGGCCTCACCTGGGCCTCGGGCTGCTGCCAGAGGCAGCCAGGAGCACGGGGCAGCTCACCTGCAGCACGCGCTGCACGTCCAGGATGGTTATGAAGCCCTTCTTGTCCTTGTCAAACATGCGGAACCGCTTCTTGTACCTGTGAGGGAGGGGCTGGCACGTCAGGGCTGCAGGGCTGCAGGGCACAGCAGCACGGGCAGCCCCTGCCCCACTCACCTCTCAATGTCTGCAGGCACCAGGCTGATCTCAGAGCTGTCTGTTAATTGATCTGTTTTCACCTTGTAGCCCATTTCATAGTACAGGAATGTTTTAGCTGTTTCAAGCTCTTCCTACAATGAAAACACAAAACCTGAGTATCTCAGCAATAGCAAGTTGTTTTACAAGTATTTATTTTTTATATTTTACTATTAGGTCTTCCACTTTACCAGTGCTTTTCTAAGGTCCCAAAATAAGGCAGATGGCAGCTGGGAAGTATCAAAAAGTTAAACTTAGGCACTTTTTACTGTTGAAAAAGGTAGCCATGCTAGTAAAGACTTCTAATTTCTGTAAATGCTTTCAGGAGCATCCACACCTTCAGTCACACACAGTCTGTCTGCCCCTTTCAGGAAGAAATGGCCTTTTTAGGCTAGGCCTACAACTTGTCATTTCTCTCCCACTTGATATCTTAGTGTGATGATTCACTCAGCTGTCCAAAATCAGAAAAAAATCAGGGAGCTCAACATGAGACAGGTTTTTTGTGGTTACAGGAGCTTCCTTTGCTGAGGCAGATCTGTTGAAAGTGTCAGTAATGCAAAATAACTGACAGGAATAGGACAGCAATGCCAAGCCTGCTTTCATTTCTAAGGCTGGGGAGCAACAGGATACAGATCTTCCCCTTCCCTGCCACCCCCTGGCCAATCCCAACCCATTTCACAGCCATTTGATAAAGCCTTCAGAATGAAATGCACCAAGTGACTCATTCTGCCGGGAATAAAACATCACTTGTAGTTCTCCATTCAAGCAACCGGGACCCTTAGCGCGGAAACTCCTCAAGCAAAACAAAGCAGCTGGAGCTGAAAGGGCCCTGTGTACCTTCTTCTTCTGCTCACACCAGTTGAGCTCCTTGGCCATGATGTCCACGATGCGGGGCAGGGCCTCGTCGGCAGCCTGCACGTTGAGGAAGGCCAGGCGGGTGCGGCGCGAGATGATGTCCACGGCGGTGCGGGCATACTCCTTCACCCCGTACACCACCTGGGGACAGGCACAGCAGGGCTGGCACCAGAGCACGCCTGGCACAGCCCCTTGCCTGCGACCCTTCACAGAACCCACCTGGATCCAGCGTTTGTACGTGGCGTACAAAACAGGCGCTGTATAAATATTTAATTGTGCATAAATATATTAATATGTATATATATAGATACATAAAGTGTGTGTCAGGTACAGGCACAGAAAGTATCTTGGCCTCCCCAAAGGAAAGGGCTCAAGGAGATGTTTCAGAGCCACTGGCCTGCTCGTCCCAAGGACACAATCACAGAAGGTGACACGGTTTCCCCACATACCTCAGCTTCAATGTAAGGAAATTCAGACACCAGACGTTTCCCAACAATAGGCCACCTCTTCCCTGTCACCTGGGCTATTTTGGCCACCTCAAAAGCCTTGTCTCCATAGGTGGAAGCCAGGTGCTGAGCCACCTGTGGAGTGGAAAACAAATCCAGCATGCTTTGAAAGCATACGAAAGACACATTTTCCTTGTCATTCCCTCATCCCCAATAACAAACAGGCTGCCAAGGCTGTTGGAGTGTGACAGTGTGGGAGGAAGCTCTGTGCTGTGGGAGGCTGGACCAGCACTGCCCCGCCGTGTCTGTGCCACCAGGCCTGACAGCCCAGCTCTCCTGCCACACGGTGATCACACTGCTGCACAGCTTGGGGGGCTCCAGAGACCACAGACCCCAGCAAGTCAGAGAGTTTTTAGCAGGAAACAGTCAAGATTAGGAGGAAGGAAAGAGGGGAAGATGATCAACAATTACTATATTTCTGTTAGATCTCTGATCAGGCTCACCAGACCCTTGCCCAAGTTATGTTGGTGACTGATTTAGGGAAGACCAAACCCCTGCAAGGCAGGAAGGCAGGACTCACCTCACTTTCCAGCCCGTAGTCCTGCACCAGTCTGATGTAGAGCGTGGGGCTCCAGTCGTGGGCCCCCTCCAGCTGCAGCCCCATGGTTCTGCAGGAGCCTGCCTGCAGCTTGTGCTCGCGCACGGCCGCGTCGATGGTGTCCCGTGCCATGGCACGGTAGGTTGTCCACTTCCCACCTGGGGGAACAGAGCTCACCTCATCATTTGGGGAAAGCCGCAGGAATACAAGCTGTTACCCCCTACAGACACATCTATGTATTCCACAGATCACATGGCTGCTGCCAGGCCTGCTCCAAGCCGGTCCCGCTGCCACTGACAGAGCAGTTTGGTTATAGGAGCAGAAGAATTCCCGTGGAAGAAGATTTTTGCATGAAATACCCTGGGGAAGCCCAGCAGAGCTGCAGCTGAAGGAACCCCCAGTACCTGCAATGGTGACGAGGCCGCTGTCGCTGATGGTCACCACGTGGTTCCGGGACAGGGACTGGGTGTCCTTGGAGTCGGGGTTGGTCACCAGGGGCCGGATGCCACTCCAGGCTGCCAGCACATCTCCTCTTCTCACTGTGCAGAGCCACACTGAGGCACGGCCAGCCCGAGCCCAGGGCTGCCCACTGGGCACTGCCAAGGGCTGCTCCACACCCTGCTCGGCCCTGAGCAACCCCCAGAGCTGGGAGAGCCCCCTGAGCCAGGGGAGAAGCTGGGCTATGGAATCCCAGAACCACTGATGTTGGAAAAGCCCTCCCAGGCCACCGAGTCCAGCTGGTACCAATGCCCACCTTGTCACCAGCCCAGAGCACTGAGTGCCACATCCAGGTGTTCCCTGGACAGCTCCAGGGATGGGGACTCCAAACCTGCCTGGGCAGCTCCAGCCTGACCCCCCCTTTCCATGACAATTCTTCCCAATGAATCTGAACAGTCCTTACATTACATTTTATAAACCAAAATAAAGTTTGCTACTTGAGTGTAACATCTGCTTTCAGATCTTCCAAGCTTTTCCTCTAGCTTTTAGGCTATTATTCCAAGATTTCCTCTTGACAAGCCATCTTTATCCACAGCCTTCACCCTAAGTGCAGCTACTAATTTGCTTTATACCAAAGTCTTTGGAACATGTTTTTAATACAACTTTCAAATGACCGATAATTGAAAAATCACTAAAAGGGTGTAAAAAACATCCCCCAAAGAACACGGAATAGATTTCCGAAATCAATGTGCTCTGCCAGCGTGTTCAACCTGCCAAAATGAAGTGTTAATCACAGACACAAGACCCTGTATTAGGTTTATAAACTAATGAAACTACAGAAAGCAGCACGCGTGACGCTGTAATTAAGCAGCTGGAAGGTGTCCAAGCCTGTGGAAGTTGATAACCCTGGCACTGGCTCTGGCAGCAGAGGCAGGGCTGTCGAGGGGTGATATGGGCAGTGCCGTTGTTATTTCAGCTCCAGCCATCTATAAACAGTAATTGCACGGGAAAACCAGCACAGGCCCAGCTGGGCTGAGCCAGAGGGACTGAACACTTCCGAATGTGCTGCTGGAAAATACGTGGGAAACCAGGGAATGGCCGGGCTTGGGACAGACCTTACAGCCCATCCCATGGCAGGGACACCTTCCCCTGTCCCAGGCTGCTCCAAGCCCCATCCAGCCTGGCCTCGGACACTGCCAGGGGCAGCCACAGCTGCTCTGGGCACTCTGGGCCAGGGCCTCACATTCCCCCCAGGGGAGAATTTCTTCCCAATATCCCATCTAATCTCTGTCCTATTCACATTCCCATTTCCCTCCCTGGTCTCCTGACACTCAACAGGAGCTTCCCTGGACACTTCCAGAACTTCATACAACATTAAGACATCAAGTCTCCTCTTCAGAAAACAAGGAATTGAGCATTTCCCATCTCCAGACAGCAGGTCTTCCTATACCTAAGTATGTTACAGTGTTCTTGCCTGAGTGCTTTTCAGACTTTTTTAAATGCTGCATCAGAAACACAGCAGTACAAATGCTCTAGCAGAATAAATTAAATAAACCAAACCCCACTCTGGAGGGAAGACGGCTGCCCAGGGCAGTGGTGGCGTCACCCTCCCTGGAGGTGCCCAAAACCCAAGTGGATGTGGCCCCTGGGAGATGTGTTAGTGGTGACAGTGGCAGTGGTGCTGGGGACTGGATGGTCTGGAGCACTGCACAGCTCATGCTGACACCTCAGCCCACTGGTTTCACACAGCCAGATCCCAGTTCAGGCAGCAGCACGTTCTCCCCCAGGCTGGAAGGCCTGGCCTCCCCAGGCTGGAATGCCCCCCCAGCCCAGCCCCTCCAGGAGGGGCTCCCGGGGTTACCTTCCACATCTGGGCCCAGGTAGTTGCGCACTTCGCTCAGGATGAAGTTGATGTCCTCCTCCGTGGGGATGGGGTGGGAGGTGACATCCGTGGGGCTGTCCGTGGTCCCTGCGATGGTCATCTTCTCCCAGGGCAGGAAGAAGATCACTCTGCCGTCGCTGGTGGCCGGGTCCAGCAGCCCCATGTTGTCAGGGCTGGAAGAGAGGAGGGGCCTGGCTCAGACCAGAACAGGGGGTGGCACCTGGGGGCTGCCCCTGCACCCCCACTGCCCAGGCAAGGACTGGCACACCACACCTGTTCCCAGGTAAAGGGGTTAATAAATCAACAAATAATGGATTTCACGTGTGGCCAAGACATGGCTTTACACATAGATCCCAGAAGTTTGGAGAAAGAAGGCCCGTGGATGTTTTTAAGCCATAAAATCATAGTGATTCCTCCAATCTGCCTCCACAATAAAGGTCGAGCAGCAGGGGTGAAGGGTGGTGACTGAGAGGAAAAGGAGAACAAAGAAAAGAAATGAAGACATTTAAGGAATATCCTTGCAGTGACACTAAGCCTGAGTTTGTCACCACCTGCCACTTCAGCAGGAAGGAACACCCACAGACTCCCGAGGGATTTGGAGAAAGGAACGTGCTCTGAGTGCTTCCAGCTCTGTTCCTGAATGGGGAACTGTGCTTTGAGGAAAAAAAGCAAAAGGGACACTCAGAGGATGCTGCTACTCAGGCATTTTTCATTACTTCTGCCAGTGCCACAACAGAATGATTCAGTGCAAGGATGAAAAACCGTAGTGCTTTGGATAGATTTTAATTCATGTATCAGATTTTTCTGGTGTAATGTAAGAAAGATACCCACAGGTGTAAATCCACTACCTCCTCATGGCTTATTAAAAAGCTCTGCTTGTATTTCAGAAGACAAAAGGCTTTTATAAACACTTCAAAGTAAACAGCTTTTATGTAGGAAAACATTGAACTGCCCCATTTTTCGATCATTTTTGCTTCAAGGACTGATGCTGACTTTCATTTAAGGTGCTGCAACTCCCTTTACAAACATGTGCAGTGAGGTCAGGGCTCTTCACCCTGCTCCTGAGATACAGGAGGCACATGGAAGGAGGGCAGGAGGTGCAGATTTAGGTAGCAGTTATGGACTTCAGGGGGGAATTATTCAGTGGACTCAAATCCTAAGGCAGGCAAAGACCTGCTTGGGTGGGATTTACCTACTCAAGCTGAATATTGCATTTTTAGGAAGTCTGAAGTGATTACTGAAGGGAAGTTGGCAATATCTGGCAAGGTTGGGAGAGAGGCTGAGAATTTCATAGCTAGCATGTATATTAGACCCATTTTAGCTGATATTTATAGACAGCTTAGGCACACGGTGGCAGAGGTACAATCTAATAGGGGAAGTCAACACAGGTTTGGGAAAGGTAAATCACCTCAGACAAATGATTACTTTTTAAAATGAAAAAGCTGTTGATTTAGAGACAGAGGAAATCAGAGGTTTAATATACAGTATCAGAATTCAGAAACTTCATAGACATTTTCTTCAAAGTATGAAATTTTTTTGATGTGATTTCATAAAACCTGTTAAAAACAAGCAAGAGAAACAAACAAAGACTTCCAACTAAGTTTCCCCACAGCACCTCTGGACTGAAATGTTTTAGATTGCACAGCAAGTGCTGAGAAAGGCTGGAACAGTTTTTCATATGCCAATTATTTACTGAATCACTGATACCAGCTATCCTGGGAAGCTCTCTCTCCATGCCCTTTGCCATGCTTGTTCCAGCTTATTTAAATAACTAAAGAACCACCCAAACAAATGCAAAATAAGGTGTTTTGCATCAGAAAGAAGCATCTTAACACCCAAATACTGGCCTTCCTGAGGCCTCAGGAGTCATGCTGCTGCACACCAGGAATACCTCCGAAACAACAGGATTTTATGAGGCAAGAATTCCTACAACTCCACCATGGATGGGAGAAGGAGGTAAGAGCCATGTAGCCGTGGTGAGATTTCTCTTTAAAGATGGCTAAAATGGGCAAATTGAGGATTGGAAACTCCAACATGAAGCATAAAGCAATGCCTTTACAGAGAAATGTAGAGGCTAAAGTCTGGGAGATTCATGGAAGGTCTTGGATCCACGGAAGATCTCCAGCTGAAGAAGCATTTGACCAAAGCACCACAAATGCAGTTAAAGAATAAAAAGTGACTTTCCATAGAGAAGAAGGGAGGTGCAACAGGCAAGTTTACCTGGAATGTGGAATGGAGAGCCGAGAGGAAAATTCCAGAAAGACAGAAACATCTGAAATTGGTCAGAAGGGAGAGGAAAAAGCCTTGCCTTCACAGACACATTCCAGGCAGGAAGCCTAATTAATGAGGGGAGGAATTCTGGGACTATTAATGAAGGACATCAATGAGTAAGAAACCCATGGGGAGTGAATGCATTAGGTTAACATGCGTTTTACAAAATCTTGACTATATTTATAACTAAAACCCTCTAGATGTTAAAAAAAAAAATCATTTGTGTGACTGTGGGCCAAAATCCTGTAACACATTCACAGGGCACACGTGGACACGGTGAAATGCCAACCTTCCTGTGCTGAGCAGTGTTCCTTGGCACCACGAGAAGGAAGGCCTGATACCACCCAGATTAAATCCCACGAGTGTTTTCTATTTAGCAGACAGTTCCCTGCTTTCAGCTATCCCACTCCAAGGAAATTCAGTGCAGTGCTATCTTATCAGCTGTGCTCTGGAGGCAGTGTGTGGGCAGATACTATTTTCCAAGGAAAGTAATGCCCACATGCTGACATACACCGGGGAACACAGAGAACAAGACTTCTCCACATTTCCAATTAAAATTATTGGGTTATTACAGAATAAATAAACCAGAGCTCTCAAGTGTATCCAGCCATCTTCTACTTTGAATTTACCAAGTGAGTCCAGGTTCTAAAGCTTTCCATGTTTTTGTGTAGGGCCATAAAGCTAATCACACACATCCTTCTCCTGGCATATGAGGAAACTGGGATTACAGCCCATTTCTCCACATTTTTAGTACTTTAAAGCAGCTATCAGGTCATTTTACCATTTTTCATGGAGAAAGATACAAAAATGAAAAAAAAAAAACCCAGAAGAGAATGCAGGGGTGATTTTACACCAGGCCAAAAATGCCTCAATTTTACAGTGTGTGGTGGTGTCCTGTTGGGACAGCTCTGGCAGAAGCACCCCCTGGTGCACTGGAAGGCTGAATTCCCATTCTGAGAGGGGCTGTGGAAGGCATTACTGCAAGGGCACTGTATCAACACAACTGGGCTAAGTCCATAAAGGGGAATTTCCATTAGGATGCTAATGACTTCAGGAAGCAAAGGTAATATTTGAGCTCCGACTGACAAGGCTGGCTCGGGAGAAGGGGATTTGGCTTTGCACAGCAAACAGGGAGAGGAGCAGGAGACTGCAGGGAGCAGAGTGCCACGGGAACCTCTCCTGGAACACGGAGGGCACGTCCTGGCCACCAAAACCCCCATGGGTGGGCTTGGGGCCACAGCAAATGTGGTGGTGCTACTCTGAGCTACTTCTATTGCCTGTGACAGTAATTATTATAACTGATTACCCTGCCCATCCTATCACTTATTCTGTGCTTCTGCACTCCTGTTTTCTCTAAGCAGAGCCACATCCCAGCAGAATCACTGCACAAGGAGTTTCATATGTGAAGGCAGGCAGTGGAACAAGATGATCTTTAAAGTCCCTTCCAACAAAGACCACTCTGTGATTCCATGATTTAACAGGACAAGAGAGTCTGTAAGAAGGTGCAACCTCTCTGGAAGGTTTTACATGCTCCCTGTTTCCCTGAGGGGGTGACCAAGCAGCAGCACACTCAGCTCAAAGGCATCACTGAAACAGGTGCTTCCACACCTGGGGATGTGCTGCCTAAACGCCTTCTGCTTCAGCAGGAGCCGTGCCTTGGGGAGCTCTAACTAAAATCTACACGGCTTCAGTCTGTTCTGAATAGATGAAATTGTTCTCCTCACCGGCACAGCGCCAGGATCCTCTTTGAAAAACACAAACAAAAATCAGACTCAAACTGTGCGCTGCGAACTGCCGCAGAGCCAGCGGTGCGCCTCTCCCAGCTGATTTATTCGGCAGCAGCAGAGACTGCAAATGGTGTCACGGGGCAGCAGGCTCCCCGTGCCTCACCTGTAATAACCAGGCATCACGATATGCACGCCTGCGCTGGGCTGACAGATGTTGGGCACCTCCTGATCATCCATTTTGCGGACTGAGTCTGTGAAAGGTCCCGTGGCATTGATAACACACTTGGCTCTGACATCGAACTCCTTCCCTGTGAAAGAAAACAGTATCAATCACAGACACCATTTGTTTCCTGCTCACTGATGCTCTTGGTTATTCATCTCTCTATGAACTCAACCTACTGTAAAGTGTACCCTGCGTGTCTGAACACAACAGCTGGGACGGCTTCTAAAAATTAACTAAGTGTTCACTCAACACGAGATTTGAGAGAATTGTTTTAGAGCAGAATCCCAGCTTATCTGTAAGGGCAGAAGAGAGGCAGGCGGGGTGGGAGTTGCTCAGCTGAAATCTGCCTCTCAAGAAGAGAGATTTCAGTCTCAGCCCGCAGACTCAGTAAATGGGATTACTACTGTACAGCACGGAGCCTTTTACAATGTCATCTTTGCTTGACAGAAGGGCTGGGACGCAAAGCTCAGTCCGGCCTGCCAAAACACTGGGGTTTGAGTGAGAAATGTGACACAAGTGGAAGCTGAGTGACACTAATGGCACGGCCCAGAAAGATGGCTCCTGTGTTGGTTCAGGGCTGTTTGCAATGGCCCTGCTCCTCCCTCCTGTGTCACTGTCCCCTGCAGTGCACCCTGCACATCCTACACACTTGTGAGCACATCCCTGCAGTGCACCCTGCACACCCCACTCACCGGTGAGCACAACCCTTCAGTGGGACCCTGCATACCCCACACACACACCCTAAACCCCATACACACCCCAAACCCCAGACTCACTCGTGAGCACCTCTCTGAAGCACACACCCCACACAACCCACACACCCCACAGGCCCCAGACACGCCACTCACCGGTGAGCACATCCCTGCAGCGCACACCCCACACACCCCACAGACCCCACAGGCCCCAGCCACGCCACTCACCGGTGAGCACGTCCCTGCAGCGCACGCCGCAGACGCGGCCCGTGTCCGTGCTCTTGAGCAGGTGCCGCACCTCGGTGTAATTGGCGGTGGCAGCGCCGTAGCGGGCGGCGGTCAGGGCGATGGCCAGGTTCATGCGCGCGTCGTTGTGCTGTCCTGCAGGGAAGGACAGCCGTCACCCGCAGCACGGCCGGCGCCACGGCAGCGTGTCAGCACGGATCTGTCACAGCTGTCCCTGTCACATCGCGTACCGCTGACGGCCGCTCGCTGCTGGGCTCTGCGCGCAGCGCCGGGCTGGGCCGTGAGGGCAGCGCTGCATCCAGCGTGCCCCGCGGGCTGGGCCTGACCCACGGGCTGGGCCTGACCCACGGGCTGTGTGTGTCAGCCCCACACGGGCAGCCCCATGGGCTGTGTGTGACCCACGGGCTGTCAGCCCCACACGGGCTGGGCCTGCCCCCCGCGGGCTGGGCCTGACCCACGGGCTGTGTGTGACCCACGGGCTGGGCCTGACCCACGGGCTGTGTGTGACCCATGGGCTGTGTCAGCCCCATGGGCTGTGCGTGACCCATGGGCTATGTCAGCCCCACACGGGCTGTCAGCCCCACACGGGCTGGGCCTGACCCATGGGCTGTGCGTGACCCATGGGCTATGCCAGCCCCACACAGGCTGTGCCTGCTCCATGGAGCTCTGCCTGCCCCACAGGCTCTGCCCGTCCCACGGGCTGTGTCAGCCACACATGGGCTGTGCCTGCCCCATGGGCTGTGTGTGACCCACAGGCTATGCCAGCCCCACACGGGCTGTGCCTGCCCCACACACACCGAGCTTCTCGCTGAGGGTCTGCACCGCTGCACTGAGCAGCACACAAACCAGCCTTCCCTTTCCTTTATCATCCTGCTCTAACTCGGTACCCATATCCAGGATTTTGACAATACAACTGGTATTAACCAACAAGTCTGATCACCAAGTGAACGAACACATGACACTCGACATCCAAAACATCCTTTTAGAGACTCTGCTACATTTAACGGGGTTTTTTTTGGTATATTCCTTTTAACTTCCCAACATACAAGATAAAAGCAACCAAAAAAGAGAAATAAGTGGACAAGAATTAATGAAGGATTCTTAACACATATCATTAAAGATTTATTACTGAAATTCCCTCGTTAAAGAAAACCAAGAGAGAGGTGGAGGGACTGTGAGGGGAAGATGATTAATTACTCTGAAATACTGGCTTCACCTGAGACTTCTCCTATTTATTATTGCACTGAAGTTGGAGGCCTGGATGCTGGCTGGAAAGAATTACTATACATTGAAGGGGCCAGGCTCTGTGTGTACTGAATAATTAATTTCCGAGCAGGCTAAACTTCCTGAGGTTCACTTCCTCACCTGCTTGGACCACTCCTATGGCAGACCATACCGATAAAGTGATAAATTTGTAATAGATACTGTAGGTGATTTATGTTGCCAGCATTCCCAGCATTTAGTATAAATGGTTTATGTAAAGTTTGGTCCTTCGGATTCTGCCTGCGCAAATCTCCAACCCCCGTGCAAATCATCTGTTCCCAGCTAAAAGGGCAAAGTTATAAAGATGGGATCAATGGCCTCACAAGCACCACCTCCCCTCCCCAAACCCCTCATTCCAACCCAGCCCAGGCTGTGCAGTGCCATCCGTCTTCAGCTATGAGAAAAAAAGTTACACAAAGTGTACAGAAACGGCAGCATGATAAAGCACCGATGAAGAAACAAACAGTAACTCCAATTCCACTCAGCAAACAATGCCCAGAATCAGCCGCAACAACGGAAGAACAGCAAAACAACTGAGCAAGATGTCAGGAAAAGTTGGGGATGCTCCATCACATGAGATGCACGAGAGGGAACAACCATCGGTCAGAGCTGGCAGGCCAAGCTCTCAGTAAATGCACGGGCCCTGCTGCTGCTGCCGTAGCAGGGAGGGATAAATGACCTTATGAGGTTCACCTCCAAGCTGCCCACTTCCAGGCAGGGTTGAGAGAAGGTACAGCTCGTGTGCAGAGGGAGCACTGGGTGAAAAAGGGACAAAGGACAGCGACAAGCTGCGGTGCAGCAGCTGCTTAGCTGCTTCCACATAACAACAGGGATTCCAGAGGAGCCCAGGGCTCAGGGAAGGACTGGATGTGGCACTCAGTGCTCTGGGCTGGTTGATGAGGTGAGGTCACAGCTTGGACTCGATGCTCTTGGAGGGCTTTTCCAAATAAATGCTTCAGTGATTCTGTAACCAGGAAAGGCTCCCCTAGCCTGTGGCCAGGGGCTCTCAGGAGCTCATTGCTCTGGAAACATCCCCTTTACCTGGGGCTGAACTGGGGCCAGCCCGAGCCATGGCACCGCAGGACTCGGCTGTCCCGGGCCACGCAGCAGCACCCCTCAGGCAGGGCCCCCAAAACCCAAACCCTGCTGTGCCATCGGCACAAGGGGATCTGCTCCCCCCCTGCAGCAGGACCGTGGGGCCAGGGGCGTTCAGACCCCCCAGTCTGCTCCTGCCAGCAGTGCCCCAGGTGGCACCGACACAAACCCCACCCTCCTGTGTGCCCTGGTGTGGGGATTCATCACACCCAGCACGACCCCACTTCAGCCAATATTAGCTTTGGTCTATGGAGCCCTGACTGTTTAAATTTGGTGAGTTTGCCTCTTCCCAGATTTGTCACTTATTTGTCCAGAGCAAAAGCAATCCGGAGAAGCCAATCAGCAGAATAAATAATGTGGAAATGGGTAGCTTCTATAAAACCAAACTTCAAAGTAATTGTTTAGCAAGCCCCAAATCCAAAGGCTGCTCGGTGTTTTGTTGAGCCTCCCAATGCTCATAAAGTCAGAGTGAGCTCAGAACACTCTCAGCACATGCCAGGATTTGGACCACTGTGCTCAAAACAACATTTTCCTCCTTTCTCTGAACCTCTCATCTATTTTCCCCTCATCATTATTCTGACGCAAGAACCCCTGTGCTATTACTCACTCCTCAGCTGTCCAAAAGCAACTGAGTGCCCATGGAATGCATTTGTAGGCAGAGGACTGGGAAATAACCAGTTCCTGATTAACTGCACGGCTAGAAAACCACACTGGCTTCAGATTGATGTGACCTACAGTGTGGAGTCCTTGAGTATTTCACGGCATGAACAGCAGAGATCTGGAGAGGTCTGGGTTTGAAAGGAGTAAAGAGTGACTTCCCACCTTGGGAATTTATCATCTGTGGAGAACAAGAGTGCAGTTTAGGGAGATGGGGTCACAGGATAGTGGCTCTATACTCAGCAACAGCTGGGGTTTGCCTTTTTTTTTTTAAGGCCTGCCAACTGGCATGTGTGTATTCTCCCCTAGATAATGACAGTAAAATCCTGTACTTGAACAGAGAATCAGAATATCCTGGACTGGGAGGGAGGCACAGGGATCACAACTCCCTGCCCTGCACAGGCACCCCAACAATCCCACCCGTCCCTGGGAGCAGTGTCCAAACGCTCCTGGAGCTCTGGCAGCCTCGGGGCTGTGCCCATTCCCTGGGGAGCCTGGGCAGTGCGAGCACCCTTCACCCAAAGGGGCAGCACCTTTTCCTGGCCTCCAGCCTAAACCCCTCCTGACACAGCTGCAGCCCTTCCCTCAGGTCCTGTCCCTGGTCCCAGAGAGCAGAGATGGGAGCTGCTCCTTGGGAGGGAGCTCCAGACTGCAATGGTGATCTTTAACACTCTAGAGAGAAAGGGAAGGACACAGCAAAGCCAAGGTTTGGCATCTCAGCTTTTCTGACCTTGCAATCAGCTGCCATTCTCCCCAGACACAGAGATCCCCAACACCAGAGAACAACACCCCCAAGCTTCATCTCCTCCAGCCCAGACGTGTAAAGCTCTCTTGACACGAGCACCGCGGCACCTTCCCAGGCTGCTTGTTCCATGATTCCACACCAAGAAACCCGGGGGTGTGATCAAAGCAAGGGAACCCCAGATCCCAGGGAGGCCCTGGATTACCCACCACAGCCATCCTTGTCCTGCACAGCAGCCACTGGGGCTCCAAAGCCAAACAGGACAGTGATCCCCCCTTGCTGCCACAGGTGCCCCTCAGTGATCCTCTGGGGTTTTCCAAATACTTCAGCCAAAATGTTATTTTCTAACAACAGAGGGGCTAAGCCAAATTAATTTGGCATCCTTCTCCACAGGTATGTCCCTGAAGATCCCCCGCATCTCCTAAGTGTAGGCAACACGGTGAAATGGTACCTGTGGCATTGCCCAAGAAGAGATGCTCAGCAGTGCCCCGCCTGGAGAGGACTCTGCTGCTCCAGGGCTGGGTTTGAGCACTTGTTCCTTGCATGGTGGCAGCTGTCACCTGCTGCATCCTGACAGAAGGCAGCCACAGCTCAGCACACTGGGAGAAGCCTCCCTGAGCCAACTGATGGAACATGCTCAGCTCTCTGCAGCTCCTTGTGTAGTGCCTCTTGAAAATAGCACGGAAGACTGAAACAATCATCCCTCCCTTATTTGTTGTTTTCACCTGCTGTAATATGGTGACAATGAAGAGATACTTTCATTTTTACTAAGGGTAGTCAACCAAGCTTTTCCCAAAACACTGGCCTAAGTGCTTTCACCAAATTAACACTGAACCCTCTAAGAAACCCCCTCAATCCTGGAAGCCACACTGCTGAGGACATTTAGTGTGCAAAGACAGTTTGAGTAAGTCTGTCCCACACCATGTTAAGCCCAACAGTGATGCCATTTGGTTTATAATTTCTTATTTTTGTGTAATTTGGGAGAATTCTATTTTCACTCCTTAGTAGCAAATGCAGTATTTCTTCACATCCGAACAGACAGTGTTTCCGTTGGCACTCACAGGATCCTCCCCCAGAGTGCACACAGTGTACATTCAATTTTATTTTTATCAGAGCTGAGCCCCAGCAGGCAGGGAGTGGTAGCAAAGCCCACAGACCGGACAGATTTGTTTGGGACTGGTTCAGGAGCGTTGTGTGAAAACCAGAGCGTGAATGAGGCACTCTGGCAGTTCTGGCATGTTCTGTCCTGTGTCACTCAGACAACTACCCCATCACACCAATTCACAGAGCCCCAGCCAGGCTGGGATGAGAGGGACCTTAAAGCTCACCTGCCTACAGGTGTATTTCTTACTGCAGCCCTGCACCAGTAACTGCAGGC